ACTCTTCTAAAATACTTGCTAGCTAACTAATGGCCCCTCGTTACAAAAACTCATAAGGGCACTTGCCTCTTAACTCAGAACTAGCTCAAAGTTCCCAACTATCAATAGATTATAGGTTTAGCTCACCCATACACAATTAGTTACACAAAATTTAATCTTGATATATCATCAAAAAATTATCTTAATCGGGCACGAATCTCCAAGCAAAATTGAGTTATAAGCTTCCAAAATTAAATCTGGGATCATGCAAACTCCGATTACAACAAACTTATAGTCAAACTGAACATCTTGGAAAAACAAAACTAACGAAACCAAAACCAGTTAGATCCGAGCCTAAATCAAGGGTCCAAAGCATATTTGAACTGTTCAAAGCTTAATTTGGAATACCAAATGAGCTTTAAATGTGACATGCTTATAGCTAAATCGAGCGGCTCGACGAGACAAATCCAATGAGCCCAAGATCACTTAATTCTGATATCATTAAGGCATTCAAATTACTAGTATATGGTCCATGATCAAGGGGATCAATATCCAAATATCCATCATCCATTCAAACCACTCACATTTTGACCTTGATCCTCCACATATTTACAAGTTATATAACTCTTAAAAAACTATAAATAGCCCCTATTCTTCTCATGAGAGAAGGAGGAGAAACGAGGAAAAGAAGGAAAAGAAGGGAGTAATTTGGGAACTTTCTTACCACCGACCACCACCGAAGTTCTTGCCGACCACCGCCGGAGTTCTTTTTGACCAGGGCCGGAGTTCTTGCCTATCACCGATGGACTTCCGCCTGTTCTTCAACCACAGCCGGAGTTCTTGCTGTCCATCGAGAGACTTCCGCTCACTCGTCAACCAACGTCAAAGTTTCTTCCTGACCATCGTAAGAGTTATTCCCAATAGTAGCTAGAGTTTCTTCCCGATCATTGTCAGAGTTCCTGTCAAACACCGACGGACTTCCGCCCGTTCATCGACAACAGCTCGAGTTCTTGCCAACCACTAATGGGCTTCTGCCCATTCGTCGACCACCGTCGGGGTTTCTTCCCGACAGTCACCGAAGTTCTTCCTGGTCTTCGCCGGAGTATCTTCTAGACATTTACATAAGTTCTTGCCGACCACTGGCAAACTTTTGCCCATTTGTCGACCACCGCCAGATTTCTTCCCATCCATCACCCAAGTTTCTTTTCGACTATTGCTGAAGTTTCTTAACGACAGTGGCAGCATTTTCTTCTTGACCGTGACTGAAGCTCTTCTTAATCATTGCCTTACTTCCGTCTGTTCATCAATCATGGACAGATTTATGTCTGATTATTCAATCTGTTGTAATTACAGCATCTCCAAGTAGATGGGCTAATCGAACTTTGTAATCCACCCAAACTTAGAGGAATTTTCTCATTTGGGCCAAGTCTCGTGATTTTATGATAATTTTTTTGGACATTTAACGTAGAGCATGTTAATTATTTATTTTAAATCAAAATATTTATTTATTTTTTACAAAAGAAGAAATATAAAGGTAGAATTAAAAAGATTTGACTAGAAAATATTTGGAATAATATTTTTTATTAAATTTTAATGAAAATTTGTCCCTTATGATATAACTTACTGCTAGTAGTAGGATAAATATTTGAAGATAATGTTGTTGTAAAATATTATATTATTTTAATTGGATGCCTTTTAGCTTCCCATAATTTTTTGTGCGTAGGAGATATAAATATTTGATTTTTCTCCCATATGAATTATATTAATATTTACTTTTAGCAAAAAATTTCTTAGTATGGGGTTGTTTGGTGATGGGGTCTAAAATATGTAAGATTTGAAAATATTGATGTTTGGTTTGAATTTTAAAGTAAAGGAATACAAAGTAAAATTTGGAAGTAAAAAAAAAAATTTTATCACCCACTAATTCAATCTAATATATTTGGAATTCTTCGTATTTTAACAATTTTTAAATACACTAAAATCTCATCACCATTATCACTATTGGCCATTGGCGATCACCCTCGGAATCATTGTCGCGGCCAACGACCACTGGCCATCACAATCGACTGCTGCAGGCCAGCAACCACCTCCAACCACCCCTCGACCACCCTCAGCCACCAAACATTTTCGGCCACCCCAAGTTACCATCGGTTATTGTCAACCAACACCTTTTTTTAATTTACACGGTATCAATTTACTTCAAACCAAATAAAAAATAAATAAAATAAAAATTTATTTTATACTCATTCAGCTAACTTCAAAGTATTTCAAATATAATATATTGTGCTGATGATAGAAGAGAGAGACCTTACTTGAAAGCGGGAAAAAGGGAGAGACATTATTTTTATATTTTATTTTTTCTATTGATATTCTGAGATAAAAATAATATTATTTTAATGTCTTAAATATAGATTGAAATTTATTTTTAAAAAATAATCATATGAATTTAAAATTACTTAGATTTTTTTTTAAAAAAAAAATCTTATATTTTAAGATAAAATTATTAAGAAAATACAAACTAAACATAATTTAAAAAAAAATGATACCAATTGATGGTTTGACATAATTTTATTTTTATGCCAAAAAAAATTTATTCTAAGTTAATTTAATTTAATAATTTAAAAATAAAGTTTTAGAAAGAAAAATTGGGTGAAATAAATAAATATTTAAAAATAATTTAAAATAATAATTAAATATCTAAAATTCAGTTAAAATAATAGTTTAAATATTTAACTGTTATTTAGCTCTCTCTCGCTATCATCTCTCTCTCTCTTAGTGGCAGAACCACCTTGTGGTCGCTCCCTCAAAAAATTAAAAAAACAATTGATTATATAATTTTTTAGGTAATTTATCCATCTTCATTCATTTTTTAATTTTTACTACAAGGATTTTAGACATTTATGCCTTATAAATTTGCCTCCTCTGAAAATTAAGGCTGATTACGCCCCTACAGTCTCTCTCCCCCTTCTTCTATCTATTGAGCTTGACTAGAATCGCATTCTATGCCATACTATTTGGCGTTGTCTAATTATGTCAAATAATTTGATGCATTTAGTATAATGCATTATTTAATTTGATGCAGTTATTTCTATTTAAATTTTAATTAATTGATATTTATTCCATTTGATGATTAATATGCCCCTTTATAGAATAGTCACTCTAAATATAGTCAATAATTCAATCAATAGTTATACGGTCTCAATATATATATATAGACTGTCTCGATTGATTCTACGTTATAAATCAAATGTAAGAGCCAAACAGCAGTCACGTAAACTAACGAACAAGTTCGAGACGCGTCACACAAACACCTGCTTATCCAACAATAAGCCGTTCACCAAAATATCTCCGTCACGGCGAACGGAAAGGCTCTGCTAAAGGTATTGTTACCGTTATGGTTTTTCTACCGCACTCCAACGGTAACATTGACCAAATGTGGGCCATCAAACCTCTAACGGTCAGTTATGCATCAATCTGGATGGTTTGATCATAATCCGACGGTCTACATTCATTCAAGGACACCACGGGGCGCTCCCACAAATCCGACAGTACGTTTTCCCATGCTTTGGTGGATTCGATGTCTCGCTGTCCGAATTCGGAAGGAAGAAGAAGAGTTCTGAGAGAGCAGCAGCAGAAGCAAAGCAGAACACATCAGTTACATACTCTCAGTTTCATTTCTTAAAAATGAATTTTTTATTGATTAGGATGTAGGGTCTAAGCTTGACTTAGCTCAAGTGCTTCTTCTACGTTTGTGTTTTTTCTTTGGATGATTTTTAGCTATGGAGGGGTTACAGAGATCGATTTTCATTTTCAGTCACAGCGTTTTCATGTTTTCTGAAATCCATGGAGAATCCTTCACAGCTTTACCATGGATCGTGCAGGGCACGGTGCTTGATGAACGCAGGTCAAATTGGTAACCCTTAACTCCATTTTCGATTCTATAGGATGATTTTTTCTTCTTCTTCTTTTATTCTTTGATTATTTCATACAGCTTTTTTCAAGGTTTCGCTTCTGGTTTTCTCAAGATATATTCATACAAGTTTTCTTCAAGGTTTTTCTTCTTGGTTTTTAATGGAAAGCGGATTTTTTTAATGAAATACATTCTTTCTCAATAGTTCTTCAAAGTTTGGTTTTCTGAAATTTTTGTCATATACTCTCCTTTTTTCATTTCATCTCTAGTCCTTCATGCTCAAGGATTTACATAAATAGAAATATAGGAAAGGGAAGGGGAGTCGGTTTGTTGGAGGTTTATACAGTTGTTAAGACTAAAGGGTAGAATTAGATAGAATACAACAAATTATTGAGGGTATTGGCTGGTGTGCTCTTCGGCGCTTCTGTCGCAGAGACATCAATTCATTTGCACTTCCGTGTAGTTCCAGGAGAAGATGGGCACGCAAAGACTTGACCTCCCTTGCAGTTTTACAAGGAAGGAAGCCGCCATGGTCTCCCTCTCTTTAGAAAGACAAGCTGAAAGCAGGGGATCGTGTTCTTTCCGACCAAGACCTGTAACAATTTCTTCCTCAGCCATTATAGCCCAAACAGCTTCTTGGGAGAGTAGGCGGGAGATCGGACGAGAGTTGTGGAATAGAAAAAGGAGTTTTAAAAAGTTTCATCAATGTGGCTTATTTGAAGATCCAGACATCGTCCGAGCAAAGAAGAAGAGAACCAATAGCAGCGGAGAAGGAGACTATAATGATGAAAAAAAGCCTTCTTTTTTGGCTGGTCAGATTCAGGCAGGCACAAGCGGATGTCCAAACATCAAATCTGGTTCCAGCACAAGCGGATGTCCAAACATCAAATCTGATTCCAGCTCTTCAAGTGACACCCATGGCTTGTCTCCTAATCTCAGCGAAGATTCATCACGCAATGAAGAAGGAAATCCATCTGGAGAAGTTTCAGGGTTTGAAAGCTCAGTCAAGAGGACAAAAACTGAACATGAGGGACTTGAGCTTTTGAGTTTTCTCATCGAATGTGCGCAGGCTATAAGCTCAAGCAATCACACAGCTGCAAACTTCTATCTTGCAAGATTAGGTGATATGTCCTCTCCTACTGGAACATCAATCCAACGACTAGTAGCTTACTTCACTGAAGCATTAGCATTTCGAGCGGCGAAGAAATGGCAGCACATATTTTCCATCGCCCCACCAAGAGAGCTCACAGAAATGAATGACAATGATGAAGCAATGGCACTTCGAATCCTCAACAATGTGACCCCAATCATAAGATTCATCCATTTCACACTGAATGAGAGGTTGCTTACAGCTTTTGAAGGAAAGGAGCGTATTCATATCATAGACTTCGATATAAAGCAGGGACTTCAATGGCCGAGCCTATTACATAGTTTGGCCTCCATGCCTAATCCTCCAACTCATGTGAGAGTTACAGGCATTGGTGAATCAAAACAGGAGCTTCAAAACACTGGAACTAGACTTGCAGGTTTGGCTCAAGCACTTAAGCTTCCATTCGAATTCCATTCAGTTGTGGATAGAATCGAGGATGTCAGACTTTGGATGCTTCATGTGAAGGAGAATGAATGCGTTGCAGTTAACTGTGTTCTACAGCTGCACCGTGCTCTTTATGCTAAGAATCATATTGTGCTGATGGCTATGTTGGGTCTCATTCGAAGCACCAATCCTTCCATTGTTCTTATGGCAGAGACAGAAGCAGAGCACAATGAGCTGAAATGGGAGAAGAGGTTTGCTAATGCTCTCAAGTATTACTCTGCTGTGTTTGATTTGTTAGATTACAGCTTTACAGGAGACAGCGCATCAAGGATCAAGATTGAAGAGATGTTTGCAAGAAAGATCAGAAATTTAGTTGCTTATGAAGGAGTTGAAAGAATAGAGAGGCATGAGAGATTTGATAGGTGGAGAGGGATGATGGAGGATGGTGGATTCAGGTTTGTTGGGTTCAATGAGAGAGAGATTATTCAGAGCAAGTTGCTTCTCAAGATGTATAACTGTGAGAATTATTCTGTGGATAAAGGAGGAAATGGATTTGGGCTTACACTTAAATGGATGGATCAGTCTTTGTATACAGTTTCAGCTTGGGCTCCCATGGAGATTGGTGGAACCTCCTCTGCATTGCAACCAGGTTGAAGAGAATGGAATGCTTTCTTCAAATTTTTTGCTTGATTTCAGAACATTATTTTATTCTTTGTTTTCAATAGGGATAGGAAAGCCGAAAGATTACAGTTGATGCTTTGCATAGAAGAGAAAATTTGTTATGATTTTTTTATTCTTTTGTTGCTGAGCCCCTGAACAATAGCAGCAGGAGTGGAATTCTTTATTATTAGTTTTAAATTTTCTTTCTTTGATTTTATAAATGTAGGAAAGCAGAAGCCTTGTCTTCAAAGATATGTTCTTAGTCATTCTGTTGTATCATATCTTAAATTTACTTTTAATCCTCATTATCCTGTTCTTCTTCTGTGTTGTAAAGTTGATTACATTACTCCACAGAGATAGTGAATTTGTAGCATTGTCATTTTCCTTGACCATCAAAATGGAAAATTTTCCTAGACCGGGATTCATTTCTTTTTTTTTCTTTTTTTTTTTTGTGACGAGGAAGCACTGTCCTTAGGCCAGTGAAAACCTCGGTCGACCTAGCATGCAACCCACACTAATTTACAGGGGCCAACACTTAAGACTTTTACTGTTTGCCAAAGGATTCTAACTAGGGACCTAGGATTTGCCAAGCCAACTCTTCACCACCCGGACAAGCAGCGGTGGGTGAATTCAGTTCTTCTACTTATTATTTTTTTGGTTGGAAAGTTTGAGTGTGGATCCAATTATCTAAATAATAATCTTTCATAAGATCATTAACATGCTCTTTTTTTTCTTTTTTTTTAGATATTTAGACAAATTAAGACTTCGTTTGGGAAGGCTTTCTTTCTGCTTCTTAAAGAAGCTTTTTAGTAAAAAATAAAAAAATTGTACTAGAAAGCTGCTTTAAGAAGTAGAAAGAAAGCCGTCCCAAACGAAGCCTAAGAGAAACTCATACAAACATCACATATGTAAGACTGAACCCAAAACTTCTTAATTGATAACCAAAAATTTCAACCAACATATCAGGAGCAGCTTGGTATTAACGGGCTAACTTCAATGCCACAAACAATAATTTTTCGTCCAAACCAGTTCTGGTTCCAATGTCATAAACTATAGTTGGCTGAGTTGCAGAAGGTAAATCAGGATGTTTTTGAAGCTGTACAGAACTTAGAAGGCTTAACCATCTAATCTCAATTGCTTTTCATTGTATGTCTGTTCTTCGGCCATGCTCCGTATTTACTTTAAAATCTTTGTAATTTTCAACTGACAACATTAAATCCAACACAGAATCGTTGGGGACAAACACTTAGGTGCTGGCGTGCTGCTAATCACATTCACAAGAATATAGATCACACCAGCACATGTATGATACGCACCACCTTGAACTAACATTAAAACAGCCAAAAATACCCAATATGCTTATGGCTTATGCTACTCTTTGTTATTTGAGGAAATTTATATTTAGTTTTGTCTTTATCATCTCTTGCAAGGAAAACCCAAATGATGATTGTTGCATCCTCTAGCATTCGTGATGGTAGAGATATAGAGTTTAGCGTCCAAGTTTTGTACGAAGGTTCAAACACAAACATATAAGAAAGAGGGTGCAAGAGTGATAAGATACATTAAGATTTTTATTTGAAAACTCTAAAAGAGGGAAAAAAATCACAGGGCCTAACTCAGTTAAAATGATTATACTAATGTTTATTGTTGATTGCAAATGAGCTCCTTTCTCAGGGGGAAGGCCTTGGCTCGATTAGAAAATATACATCATAATGGGCATATTACATGTTGGGAGTTCAAAGAATCTAGTAATATAAGAGTTGTCTTCAAGAGAGGGTTGACTTGTTTGTTTGGTTGGTAGGACTATAATCGACGGGTGACAGAGGTCGAAGGGATTATAGTCTGAGGGTGATGGTGGTTGGAGGGACCATAATTAGTGGTCGACGATGGTCAGAGGGACCGTAGTCCACTAACAACAGTGGGTGAAGGAACTGTAGTCTGCGGGCAACGATGCTCCGAGGGACCGTAATCGGAGGGCGACAATGGTCGAAGTGGCTGTAGTAAGTGGGTGACGGTGGTCGAAGGGACCATTTTTTATGGTTGACTAAGGATTTGAGGGATTGTAGTTGGGGGGCGACGAAGGTTAGGGGGCCATAGTCTATTGACTGTGGTCTGATGTGTTGTTATCGGCAGACAATAATGGTCGAAGGGGTCGTACTTGGCAAACAACATATGTTGGAAGGACTATATTCGAGCGACAGTGGTTGGGAGGATCGTAGTCAAATGGAGACAGTGGTTGGCAGGTCCGTAGTTAAAGGGCGATAGTGGTGGGAGGGACCGTAGTCGGCGGACAATGAGGGTCGGAGAGATCGTAGTCGGTGGGAAATGGTTGGCGGACATGTGGTGGTCCGACGATGGTCGATGGTCGAGCGGAGGTATGGCGAGGATCGACGACCATGAGCTGCTCCATCGACAGTAGGCGGTGCTCTGGATGGGCGGTGGTTTAGCGACGGTTTGTTGTTGGGTAGTGGTCTGGCAATAGTCGAAAGAAGCTCGTCGGCGATGGTGGTTGGGCAGAGCTCTATGATCCCTAATGTCTCATAACTCTCTCCAATCTATAGCCAAATCATCCAAACTTGCAAAGGTCCAAGTCCCCTTTCATGTGGGAAGTGATGGTCTATTTATAGATTTTTAAGAGTGACATGTCCCATAAATATGGAAAAAATTTGTGGAGAATTCGTAGTGCTCCATCGAACAACCAATATTGATCCCTTCAATCATAAATCATTTGTCAAGCATTTATGTTCTTAAATGATGTTAGAATTTAGCAATTTTGGGCTTGTTGGTTTCGTCTTGTTGAGCCGCTCAATTCGACTATAAGTCTACCATATTCAGATATTATTTGATCATACAATTTATGTTTTGAACCTTCCAAATATGCTTTGGTCCCTTGATTCAGACCCATTGGGCTCATATTGGACCAATTTTGGTGTCGTTGGGTTCGTTGTTTCTTTGAAATATTCAGTTTGACTGTATGTTTACCGAAATCAGAGTTTAGATGATCCCAAATTTAATTATGAAGGTTTCCAACTTGGATATACCTCGAGATTTGTGTATGATCAAGATGATTTTTGTGTCATATCGATGATGAAGAATATTTGCTTCATCTTCAATTATTATTGTCTATAATATATCATTTTATTTTATTTATAAATCACATCATATTGTATTCTCTCATCAAAAAATCTTTTTGAAACTTCCTCATAAATCGCCTTGATCTGACATGAATCTTGAAACACATATGAATTAGAAACTTCCATAATTAAATTCAAGGTCATCTAAGCTCTGATTTCAACAAACTTATAATTGAATTGAACATCTCGAAGAGACGAGCACAACAACACAAAAATTAGTCCAAGCTGAACCCAAATGAGTCCAAATCAAAGGTCCAAAAAATACTTAGAGGATTCAAAGCATTAATTGGATAACTGAATGATACGCAAATACGGTAAGCTTATAGTCAAATCGAGCGGCTCTACGAGACAAATCCAATGAGTCCAATATGACTCAATTCTGACATCTTTAAAGTATCTAAATGCTTTATAAAAGGCTTCATGATCAAGGAGATCAATATGAGTCATCCGATAGAACGCTCCAAACATGCCTATGATCTTCTTCATATTTACAAGTCATTCCATTCAAAAAAAAACCTATAAATTTCCCCATATTCTTCACATGAGGGAGAAGGGAAAAAGGAGGAAGAGAGGAAAAGAAGAAGAGAACTTGGGGAGTTCTCTTGTCGCTGACCACCGACGGATCATTCCCTAACCTCCGACCATCGCCAAATCTTTTCCTAACCAATGATCATCGCCGGACTTCCTCCCGATCGTCGATCGTCTTCCGATCTCTTCCCAACACTCACTGAACTTCCACCCATTTGTCGACCAACATCGGATCTTTTCTCGACCACCGACTGTCGCTGAACTTTCGCCCTTTTGTCGATTGCCCCGAATCTCTTCTCGACAATTAGTAGTCACCAAACTTCCGTTCATTCTCCAACAATCACTATAACTTTTCCTAGACGCTATCAATGTTGGATCTACTCCAAAATACTGTCACCTGCCGATTACGGTCTTTCCAACCTCCTTCGCCCCGTCATTTACTGTCTCTACAACCACCATCGCACGACTATAGTCCTTTTGACCTCCGCCGCCATACAACAGTCTTTTTGACCCTCGTTGCTCGCCGACTAAGATTCTTTTGACCACTATCATTTGTCGACTACAGTCCTTCCAACCTCTGTCGCTTGACAACGGTCTTCTGACAATCGTCACCCAACTATGATCCTTTCGACATCCGTCACCCGATTACGGTTCTGCCGACCATCATCGCCCGACTATAGTCCTTCCAACCTACATCGCTGGTAGACTATGGTCCTGCTAACCAAACAAACATATCAACACTTATTCTTTCAACTGCCACTATATAATGGACTCTATATGATGTATATTTGCTACATCGAGCCAAGGCTTTCCCCGAAGGAAGATCCTCATTTTGTAACCAAATGCAAATATTAGTGGATTCATTTAAACTGGGCAAGACCTCATGGCTTTTCCCCCTTTCAGGGATTTCTACAAAAAAATTTTGATGTCTCTTATGAACGCTACACTCCAATCATTTATCTCTCTGTGTGCTGAATCTTCGTATAAAGCTAGAAAATTAAACTTTATAAGTGTCTACCGCCGCGAATTTTTTAGGACACACCCTTTTATTCTATTTGGGACATCATTAGCATTTTATGAAGTTAATTATAAAGTTGTTATCGTAACAATAATTAAATTACTCTGATTGCAAAAATCACCATTTTCATCCTAATTTTTTAAAAAAGGGATGAGAAATGTCTAAAAAACAAATCAACTAGAAATTATCTCACAAAAGAACCTTTGTCACATATATTCTAAAATATATTTCCTTATTGAGCTCATTAATTAAACATATGCAAACAAGCAATTGTTATTTACAACTCCTGCAATAATTTATGGCACCTTTAATCTTTTCCAACTTTAAAACTATCATAAATGTTCTATTTTGCCAATCATGACAATAAAGAAAACTCTATCTTCTTGATTGGAACTTTTGTCATATTTAATACTTCTCTTTTAAATAAACTAATTTTTTAAACAGAAAAAGTGAAAAACAAACATTCTCTTTACTTGGAAAAAAAAGATTAAAATCATTTAACTAAAATTTAATCAGAATAAATTAAAAAAATTTATTTAAGATGAGTGATTAAATTTAAATAAATTTAATTTTAAATAAGTTTTTATTAATATTTTTGATGAAATTTTCAAACATTTCTATCCGTCCAGCAACTCTCAACAAAGTGGTTGACTCACAGTCAATGAGGCGGGCTCCACTAAGAAGTTTCCCCGCGGTTCTAAAAATTATTGGCTTGAAAGCTCGAGAAAACCTGTTCTCATAAATAAGCAATTTACGAGATTTATTTTCTGAGAAATTTAATGATCGGAAGAAATTATAAAATTTATATTTTATTTAAGGTGAATGATTGCAGTTCGCTTAAAATAAAATTTTTAATTTAAAAGCAATCTACATCATTTTTTAAACAAAATATACTAACAATTTTTGTTTTCCCGTCGTGTTTGGAGTTGCAGAATAGGGGTGTCAAAAATTGACATGACCCAAAATCCGATCCGAAAAAATTCGGGTTTGGATTAACCCGTTTGTCAAATGGGTCGGGTTTGGTGGACTCGGAAACCCGTGGGTCGACCTGAATTGACTTGGATGTCCCGTCAATCATTGTGTCGAATACTTGCGGTCTCATCTCGTGTCAATCAGTCTAGTCGCAGTTGTGTTCCGAGCTGCCGATGTCGGCTTGCCGCCCGCCTGTGCTGTCCTGCTCGCTCTGCCAGCCACTGTCGGCCTATCGTCTTCCCGCTTTGCTGCAGAGTCGAAGACATCTACGAGCTGCCACTGTTGTCATCCTGAACTGCTATTTGATGCCCGCGAGCTGCTGCTGACGCTAGCGAGCTGCAGAGACGAAGATTCTCGTGAGCTGTCGGTCTGCCGTCGGGCCGCCTAAGAGCCGAATGTTTCCGTCCCTCTCTCGCGTGTCGGATTGGGTTAACCCGATAACCAACATGGGTCAAATCCGAATTGACAATATGACACATTTGCAAAACCGTGTAGAAATTGACAGCCTTATTGTGGAGGAAGTCGTTGAGACGTAGTCAGTCAATGGGGGCTCCACCCAGAGGTTTCATTTATGTTCAATCATTTCTGGCTCGAAAAGGACCGGAAGTTCTGATCGCAGATAAATCACAGTCTCCTGCCATACTCGTCGGCGTAATCTCCGACTGCCAACACGAGCTGGAAGCGTTGGAGAAGCGACCTTCCCTTTCCATTGGTAAATTTCTCGCCATCTTTTCTACCCTAACCTCATTGTCTTGAGTATTGAGAGGAATGTATTCTGATTTTCTTTCATTTCACTTTTGAAATCCAGGTCTTTTTCTCTCAATTAATTTTACATAAAGCGTTGAGATATTCCAGGCAAAGACTTGGTCGACCTTGATTTAATTCCAATCGAAAAGCTTCGGTCTTCTCGTTAGGTTCAACAGGTAGGGTTTTCTGGTTGGGAGGATAATCGAGCGGTTGCCATAGGAATTGGATGGTATAACAGCATATAATACTTGTGATTCTTGAACATCAATGTTCTCTCTCTCTCTCTCTCTCTCTCTCATGCGATTAATGAAGGGAGTTGTTTTTGAGCAGCGGCTCGCACTTCGGGTGGTGAAGAGTACCAAACCATGGCTCGTTTAAATTACATGACGAGTTCATGGTGAGGCTCCAGAACGCCTAAAGAATCTCGAAGCTGTGATTAGATTGCAATAGCGGTTGTAATTTTGGCTAGTATTCAAAGAACATTGTGTGTGGGCTTATCTTAATTATACATGGGATATAGTTGCGGAAATTTTAGTTTTTTAAAAAATTAGAACTTTGCAGAACCATAATATCTGAAAACATCCATCAAGCCACAAAATTGTTAATCATGGTTGGTGTTTCCTGTTTATGCAATTAGCATATGAGTCACTGTCGTTTCTAATATGTACTTTAGGTGCTTAGCTATCCGTTATTATTTTAGAAGTTGAGGGATTTGATTTAGCATATAAGTGGGTAAGTCTAAGTCAAATAGAATAAGAAATTGAGAGTAATCCCCCTTGCTAAAGATGATGATATTCATCATAGTGACATGCCCAGGTCTGTCCTTCTTTCCTAATTAAGTAGATTTTAAAGGTATAGACTTTAGGTGGCTGAAACATTCTGACTTTGGAAAATTTATCTTTTTGCTTGTTTGGGTAAAATGATTGTCTTTTCAACTTTTGGTTAAGAACTTATTCTTTATCTCCATAAGAACGTGAAGGGAGAAAGAATGCTTCAAACTGGCTTCCATCTTGTTAAATGTTGGTTGTTGTTTCTTGTATATATAGATCATTTCCAAAAGGATAAAATGTATATGATAGAAGTCAAACTTCACGCTGCTATTGGTTTTTGTTAAAATAAAACAAACTATGATGATTTTTGTTGAAACTTTTAGTTTGTTGTTTATACTTTGAGTTGGTTCAATGGATTTCTTTGCGCCTCAAGTTACAATATTTATCTTACATCATCTCTATTTGTCTATTACTGAAAGGGGTAAATTTAAGTGAGAATATTTAAATTAATTATTACTGGCTGCATGGATGAATTACGTACTTTTTTTTATTATGTTTCTGTTTGTCTCCGTGCATACTTAACACTGTTGGTACTATCATTTCTAGCTTAACAAATTTGAATTTAGGTGGCTATAATGGGAGTGGAACGTCAAACAGGTGGAAAGAAGCAAATGGACATTCATTATGTCCAAGCACCTGCGCCATATTCGGTGGAAGAGAATTTTGAAGTATTCTTCCCAGACCATGATGATCTCACGCTTGCAGAACTTCTTCAGGATCAGGTTAATTCACTTTATCATCTTGAATTTTTTTTCTAAAATAGATTAGGAACGTTTCATAATTGAAAGAAGCATTGAGTACTTTATGTTGATGTTTGATTTAAAATTGTTGTCACAAATGGAGTCAGTTTAGGTATTGTCTTGTTTTATGTTTTTAAAAGTCTGAAATGATCTTGAAATGACCAAGTTCATAGATTGTAAGGTTGGCCACACTAAGAAACGAGTAGAAGCGGAGCTGTATTGTGTTTGATGGAAATGCATTATTAAAAAAATAAGGTGTAATAGAGGTTGAAGCTCCCAACAGTGCAGGGTTAAAATAATGGTTGATTTACATAGTCTTATTCATGTATTGTAAAAATCCCAATGACAAAACTATTAAGGCCCAAAAACTAAAAAAATGGAAATCGTGCCTGTTGTTCCTAGGCCTTGAAAGTTCCCATAGGCTCTTGAGGGTAATTATTTATGGCACTAAAAACACAAGAGTTAGAAGTCATATCATTTTGAATTAAAGAATATGATCCTTTTTTTGAGAGGCTTGAGAAAGTTCCTTAATTTATCAATTTCTTCTGAATTGAATAATTCTTATTCCACAAAATATGTCAACACTCTTTTTATGTCTTTATTTATTTCCATCATAATTCATAAGCTAGGAGCTTTTTGTGGAGTTTCTAGCATTCTTTGATGTGCATTTTCTTGCAATAGTTACACCATAGATTGCATTTTAAAGAAGAGTTTTGTCCTTTTTTAGGGGAATAGTCTGTAGCGATAAGTTCCTTTGAAATTTAGTGGTTGTTATGGCAGATGTTTCAAAGATCAGATCATCGAGCTTTATTATCCTTCTTTCTTCTTCGGCTCATATGATTGAAAAAATCTTATTCAGAGAAAGTAGATTTTCTTTACTTAAGATCTGGACATGAACTTAATTGAAGTCATTGTTGAGTCTTGCAAGGAACTCAAATATTATTTCTCTTTCTACAACTTGCTTGAGAATCACAGCATTATCAAACATGTCTTTTTTAGATCTTAGTATCAATCTTGTTCAAGCTAATAAACCTCAATTACATTAAAGTATTCAATAATATGAAGGTTATCTTATTTGGTTTTTAAAATCTTTGTTTTGATCTCATAAATGAGGGTAACATTCTTCAATTTTGAGTATATTTATTTAATGATGTCATAAATTTCTTTTACACTAAAAAGGAACATATATGGCCAATTGATTCCATGTGTCATGGTATTCCATAACCATGTCATGACCATGGAATCCATTTCATCCCAAAGTACAAACTTTGGGTTCTTTCGACTGTAACACCTCAATATTTAAATTGGAAGGATTGCATCTTTTGACTATTTTTCAATCAACAACCAGAGTTGATCAATTGCATTCAGGATATGTATAAACAACAAAAAATATAATTACATTATTATAGTTAATATTTACATTTTGATTCAAAGTCTAAAATAATATATACAATGGCCATCATATGCATCTAAGAACAGTACATTATACATCATGACTACAAAATAAAACATAAAGATCGACATTTATCAAAAAAAAAAAAAAACTCCAGTAAAAAAAAAAAAAAAAAAAAACTCCAGCCTGCATCCCAGATCTACCTCATTTTACAGGATTCTTACCATTGCTTGAAAATATGTAAAAATCATATAATGAGCGTATAGCTCAGTAAGAAACCCATACTTATAATTGAAATCAATACATTAAACATAAACAATACTGATATATGTAGCAGTTAATAAGAACAATATTTATATATCATATCATTCATATACGTTCTTATCATATACATATCAATTATATCCCCGTCATATAGCATATGTTCATATCACCATTCTATTAATCTAGTTGTATGCCAATCATGTTAATCAATCAATCCTGCATCAATCAATCTATCTTATCTGTCATTTGTTATATTTGTCATTTCTATAATATATATCATTTCTATATCTATCATATCATGCATGTTATATCTATCATATCATGAAATGCTATTATGTATGTGTATTCATATGAGTTCAGCAATGCATAACATCTAGATTTAATGTGATGTTTTCATCATTATATATGCCACCAATCTGTCATATCCATCCATATATCGATCATATCTTTCATTTATTTCTATTAATTATTTATTTTCACTGGTGACTTTCAATAATTAATGAATATTCGTCACTCTCTGCTCGCTGGCGTGATCAACAATCGGTTACAGACTAACTTACTGTATTACACCACAAACTTTTTATTTAAAAGAAAACCGCTACCCCACTCTGTTGTATATAGTATTATATTTTAAGAGTCAACCTGTTTTAATTATATTATTGAGTCATTGACAGTCAGTCTTCCTTGTTTGCATATAAATGTCATATTTATCATGTATCAATCATATTATTTTATCTATGAATCAATATCATGTATTAAATGTAATAATCTATGTAATACATGACAAATAATATACTATTCATTTTCTTCATAAAATCATAACTATAAATCTACATGTAAAATTTTCATATAATCTAGTCAAAATGTTCAGAATAATGATATCAATCACATAATAAAAGTTATGTAGTAAAATTTACTAAAATGATCTATATAAGATTTTAATTAGTTTTATGAGGGAGAAATATACCAAACTCAAAATAATTGAAAACATATATAGAGTAGAAGCAGCTTACAATGATCAGAATAATTTTCTAAGAGAAATGATGAACGATCAGGCCCGGAGGACCTTCTCTCTCCTCTTCTTCTCCTTCTCCTTCCTTCCCCAACACGCAAAAGAGTGAGAGGGGAAAAATGGGGTGGTGGTGAGAGATATTATATTAAATACATATTAAAAAGTTGATTTAGTGCCCAACATCGCGATGCCCAACTTTCCAGTACCACTACGCTGCATGCCGATCCCAAAGTTACTTTAGAACAAAGTCTTCAATGCTGCAACGGCGGTTCCTTAGCAGCGCAGTGTTGCTTGTTGGATCTAAAATTTCATATTTCAAATAAATTTATTTTTAAATTTTTGAGTTATTACAATCTTCTCACCTAAAAAAATGTCATACCTAAAAAAACGTCATCATTGATATTTTCATACAAACAAAATTGATCACCGGTCACAACAATCATGACAATCAAATCATATATCCATTCACTAACATATATGCATATAAGTTAAACAATCAATCATGCGATACAATGTGTTTCAAACCAACAAACAAAATTGCACATAAATTGTTCATAATAGAAAATTTATACCAGTAAAACTATCAGGCACCTTTGATCTCTCTTGCACAGAAAATTCAGGACCATTCTGAATAAACTCTTGACCATATCTAGGTTGTGGGCGATTCATCATTTTATGCCCATAACTATCACATCTGAAGCATTACCCTATCACTCTATAACATTATCATACATGTCTTCTTCCAAACTAGACACATTGTAGAGCAAATGCTTTCACAATCTTTTTCCTACTCCCTTCACACATTTGATAGGAAACACTTAAAGATTTTAAGTAAATCATATCAATAAAGACAAAAACAGGAAAGTGCTCCACAAATCCAATGGAAAGAACAACAAAACAATGATTTTTATTGAGTAAAATCAAACTAACAGCAGAAATAAATTAAGATACAATTGATCCTCAATTCAAGAGGAGGATCGTTCTCTCCCAATCCCTAGATGAATCTAGGGCCTAAGACACCAAGAACAAGAGCTCCAAAAAATAGCCACAAAACAAAGCATGCCCTAACCCTAAACAACTCCTATTTAGTACCTTAATTCCCTAATTTCAAACTCCTAATTCAATTTTCCCTCCCAATCCTAGCCACCCCCTCTCCTTCCCTAATTGGTTTGCCCAGTGAGATTCACAAGGCTTGGGCGGCAACCCTGTGGGGGCGGTTTTGTCCTCCTCATGTAAACCATACCCCCCCCAAGAGGAGGATCATTCTCTCCCAATCCCTAGACGAATCTTGGGCCCAAGACACGAAGAAAAAGAGCTCCAAAAAATAGCCACAAAACAAAGCATGCCCTAACCCTAAAAAACTCCTATTTAGTACCTTAATTCCCTAATTTCAAACTCCCAATTCAATTTTCCCTCCCAATCCTAGCCACCCCCTCTCCTTCCCTAATTGGTTTGCCTAGTGGGATCCACAAGGCTTGGGCGGCAACCCTGTGGGGGCGGTTTTGTCCTCCTCATGTAAACCATAACCTCCCCCTGCGGGTCAGCTGGGTCGGTTTAGTCAAAACAGGCCTAACAACTTCTCTTGAATGATGGAGGTTTCTGCTCAGAAAATTTTTGCTCATATTGCTTGGCCAATCTTTCGGTGACCGTTTTTCACCCTCAAGTGTATCTAGAATTGCTCCTGAGTCTTGTTCAATCAAAATTTTCTTTTCCTTTTGGATTCATCTTCTTATACATATTCAGTTCAACAGATCTTTTATTCAAATACATGTATAATGCACACTCAATTATCTTTGCCGCATATATACATGTGCGGAACTCATGTTCATGAATGCAACTCAATGCTCCTATACACTACCCCATCCAGAATCGATTCGAAAGCTCTGGTTACAATTCAATTCTTCCAATAATCATTGTTCTGATACCATTTTGTAATGTCCAATGTCTAAATTGAAAGAATTGTATCTTTTAACTATTTTTCAATCAACAACCTAAGCTGACCAATTGCATTTAGGAAATATATAAATAGCCAAAAACATAATTATACTAATATAGTCAACATTTAGCTCTTAATTTAAAGTCCAAAATGATATATACAATAGTCATTATATGCAACAAATGAAAACATAAAGATCGACATATGCAAAAAGAAACTCCAGCTTGTAATCCAAAACCACCTTATTCTATGGGATGTTTACCCTTGTCTGAGAACATTTAAAAGTTACATAATGAGCATATAGCCCAGCAAGTAACCTATAGTTACAACTGAAGTTAATGCATCAAACAGAAATATTAACTATATCTTTAACTGTCCATAGGAACAATATCTTATATATCATATAATTCATATACATATTAATCATATCCCCGTCATATAACATATGTTCATATCATCATTCTATTAGTTTAATTGCTTGTCAATCAATCAATATATTTTATATGTCATGTCATATTTGTCATTTCTATATCATATGTTATTTCTATATCTATCATATCATGTATGCAATATGTATCACATTATGAAATGCTATCATGCATGCATATTCATATGAGTTCAGCAAAGCAGGACATCCAGCTTTAATGCGGTGTTTTCTTCCTTCCATCTGTCATATCTACCATCTATCTAATATGTATCTATATATATATATATATATATATAATTTATTTTTACTAGTAACTTTTAATAATGAATGAAGATTCGTCACTCTCTACCTGTTGATGCAATCGATCAATCGGTTATAGGCTAACTTTCAGGATTACACCATAAATATTTTATTTTAAAAAAAGTCTGTTAGCTCACCCTCTTGCACAGAGTATTACGTTTTAAGAGTCAACCCATATTAATTATAATATTGACAATTAACATTCCTTACTTACATGCAAATGTCACATTTATCATATATCAATCATATCATTTTCTCTATGCATCAATATCATGTAAAAAATATAATAATCCACGCAATGCATGATGAACAATATACTATTCATTTTCTTAAAAAAATCATAACTATTAATCTACCCACTGAAATTCTCATATAATTTGGTAAAGAACATTCATAATAACGATATCAATCGCATATCAAAAGTTATGTGATAACAGTTCACTAAAATAGAACATATCATATTTTTATAACTTTTATGAGGGAGAAATATACTAACAACAAAATCATTGGAAACTGATGCAGAGTAGAGGTCACTTACAATAATCAGAATAATTTTTTTAACGAGAATGACAGACGATCAAGCTCTAGAGGACCTTCTCTGTCTTCTCTCTCTTTCCTCTTCTTCTCCTTCTTCTTCTTCTTCCTTCCCCATTAAGAAAAATAGTGATGGGGAGAAATGGGGTGGTGGTGAGGGATATTTATATTAAATATATTAAAATGCTGATTAAGTGCCCAATGTCGCGGCGCCAAACTTTCCAGCGTTGTTGCGCTGCATGCCAATCCCATAGTTACTTTAGAACGGAGCCTTCAATGCCGTAGAGCTAGGGAATTATTACTTTGTAATGTGTAGCTGTGTTTGCCAGCATAGTGCTATAGTACGGTTTGCTAGATCCATATTTTCATATTTAAATAAATTCATTTTTAAAATTTTCGATTATTACATCAGCTCTCAAGGAGAATCAACAAGATGATGATATTTCCCTTATCTCTGAGAAAAAAATATTTATAATTTAGGACCACTTCAAATAATTTCTCTTTTTCAAATGATATGAGCCTTATGAGGCTTGTACCCTAGAATTTTTCCTTGGTCTAACTTTCACTATTCATGATAGTTGACTCCTTGGAAAAGAAGTCAAAGAAAGAGATATGTTTGTTTGACAATGTCCTAAACTTATTTTCTTATTTTCATTCCACAATTTGCAAGGTTTTGCTTAATTAGTTTAAATGATTTTTAATTTTATAAATTCTTTTAGAATGTTATTATCAAAATTGAGCTTTTACTTGCGTCTTATTGATTAGTTTCAATCCATAATCCAATTCTTACGAACTAAATTTATTTGAAGCTTGACATAATTTTTGGCAGGAAACTGTCTACCAGTCGCTGCAAAAAAATCCTCAGACTAATACAGCTAGACCTTCAAACCCTATTCCTAGGGAAGGTCCTAATGATAGACAAAGACATGGAGATTCTTCTCAAACTGTAAATGCCGAGTCTCAGTTAGCTATGGATGAAATTTATGCTAGAGAATTGCTGGAGTTGGAGTTGGAGACTCAACTTGCTTATACTTCCCTTAATGGTACTTCTGGAGCAGGAACTGGTAAATCTATCTCTGCTTCATGATTGTAAGAAAAATGAATTCATTTGCTTATCTGACATCATATTTATCTTTGAGTAGCTTGGAACTTTTTTAGGGCTGGCTGCCCGTGAAAGATAGTGGTCATACATGCTTAAATTAAACTTTTATCTTTTTTTTTCTGATAAAGCCGACTCTTTTACTTTTTTCCCCTTTTTTGGTGACAAACTTCTTCAAATATGTTACACGTGCAGGGCCTTCTACGTCAAGCAGTCGAGGAAATTCCTCCCACAACGCATCAACTCAGGTAATTGGGGATTATCTGCTAGACTCTCTTTCTGCGTGGATTCTTGTGGCTAACATGCTTACTCTTTTACCATTGAGGCATTAAGACAAAGAAACTAATGGTAGCTCAACTTTTGCTTAGATTACCATAGAAGAGGATGTTGACCCAGATAATATGACTTATGAGGTGTGTTTCCCTTTCAAAAAATTAAGTATTCCTCTATAAAATAAACTGTAACCTTGGTTCATTTACTCCATAAAGTTGATTTCAATTTTTGCTTATTTTTTGTACCCCTATTCAATTTGACTATTTATTTCCATACTAAATCTGATTATTTTCCAGTTCAGTTACCGATTGAGGTCATGATGCTGTTAATACCTAGGCATCAGAGTTCATTACTAGTTGACAAACATCTAGCTGAAGGAAGCTTTAACCTTGATTCCTCTCCTTAGTATATATTTTACTTATTTACAAATAACATTTATGTAATTTTACTTCAATCTTGCTTAGTTGTCATTTGGCGTAGAAGCCTAAGAGAACTTAGATGAAGAAAAAGAAAAAGAGAGAGCAGAGATCGTTACAATATATTTTCCATCCCTTAACTAATGAGTGCAGAATGATTAAGAAAAAGTAATCCGAAGTCCAAACTACTGAAATTAATCCAAAGTCCAAACTAGAGATGAAATCGTGGGCGACGGGTTGGGCAAGAGTGGGGTCGGTCGTGCAAACGGGATCACGCAGACAGGTTCGAGGTCGGGCCAGACAAGGTAAGAACAAGCAATGACGCTGAATTCTGGCCGTGCGAGCGGATCTGATCGAGATATCGCATGCTGGAGCAAAGGCGAGTCGCTGATGACAACCGCGTGATGGTTACGGACCGCGCGATCGGGTAGAGGATTTCATCATTGAAGTGGAAGCTGAAGCGCCGAGGAGTCACGGACGCATTCTCGTGAAGTATTGGTGATGGTTCGTTGGTCAGATAAGGGATCCCGCGAGTGGAGAGGAGTTGCATAGGACACGTTCGCGTGAAGCATTGGTGGAGGGTCGCTGGACGGGCAACGAATCTCTCCATTGGAGTGGAAGTTGGAGCGGAGGAGGATAGTCGTCGACCACTCATCTTCAGTGCCGATCGTCGTCGACCGCCCATCTTATTCGGCATCGATATTCGTCGACATCTGATAGGAAATACTTGAGTTCTCAAGTAATCCTATCGGATCTACTTTAGTTCACAAGCAAACCTAACAATTATCGATAAAAGCAGTGAGAAAATGTAGAAATTATGGTGGAAGAACAATCAAACGATATCAAATCTTATGGAAAGCCAAGCGAAACAAGAACAAAACAAAGATACAAGAGATCCTCAATTTGAGAGGAGGATCGTCTCTCCCAAATCTCTAGACAAGAGAGTTTAGTGCCCTAATCCTCTCATCCTCTTTAATACAAAAGCTTTCATAATCTAATTTTCCTCCCAAGCCCTAGTCGCCCCCTCCTTTTCAATTTGAAATCACTTGGTCTAGTGGGGCCACCCCTTTGGACGGAACAAAGAAGAGGTCAAGGGCCGGCTAGGTCGGTTCAGAGTGAACCGACCTATCAATATCGCCCTCCCAAAGAATCACCTTGTCCTGAAGGTGAAAACCAGGAAATTGATGTTTCACCCTCTCGTATGGCTCCCATGTGACCTCGTAGTCAGGAAGGTTCTTCCACTTGATCAACACTTTCTTAGTTCCATCTTCTTTCTGGCGAACCCCCACCAGCTTTAAGGGTTCCAGAACCACCTCTAAATTCTCATTAAGTGTCGCCGGTAACACGGGGTTGGCTGTATAGTCACCAATGGCCTTTCTCAACTGTGATACATGAAAAACCGGATGTATAGTCGCCATTGGTAGTAGTTTTAGCCGATATGCTACTGCTCCGATCTTTTCCAGCACTTCATAAGGCCCAAAGTACCTTGAAGCAAGCTTCTTATTCCTCCTGTTTGTGACTTTATGGAAGGAGCTTCAAGAACACCCTCTCCCCCACTTCAAATTAGATGTCCTTCCTATGCCCATCAGCTTCTTTCTTCATAATATGTTGAGCCCTCAGCAGATGTCTCTTCAACTCTCCTGGCACTATCCCTTTCCTTTAAGTAATCCTCGATTGAAGAAACTGGAGTATTGCTACTCCTAAAGTGCATCAAGTGGGGAGGATCCCTTACGGACAACACCTTAAATAGGGTCATCTGAGAAGCAGGATGAAAAGAGATGTTGTATTAGTACTCAACCCATGATAGCCACTTAGCCCATAGCTTGGGTGTCTCTGACACGAAGCATCTCATGTAAGTCTCCAAGCTTATGTTGACTACTTCCGTTTGACCATCTGTCTGTGGGTGGTAAGTTGTACTCCTCTTCAGGACTGTCTCCTATAACTTGAACAACTCTCTCCAAAAATGGTTGAGGAACACCTTATCTCTATCTGATACTATCGCCTCGGGTATTCCATATAATCTGACCACCTCTCTAATGAAACCTGAAGCCACTGTGACTGATGTGTAGAGGTGTCGGAGGGGAATGAAATGTGCATACTTGCTCAGCCTGTCCACCACTACTAAAATCACCGTAAAATATTCTGAACAGGGCAACCCATGTATGAAGTCCATGGATATCTCCCACCATACTCGTCCCGATAGAACCAATAGTTATAGTTGTCCTCCTGGCGACATAACTAAGTATTTGTTCATTTGACAAATCTCACATCTGGCTACCATCTCCTCTACATATTTATGTATCCCCTTCCAGTACAGCTCCAAAGCTAGCCTCCGGTATATCTTTTGCATGCCCGAATGACCTCCAACAGTGCTTCTATAAAACTCCTGGAGTAAGTTTGGGATGTGAATTGAGGTCCAGGGCATCACAAACCTTCCCTGATATAGCAGTCTGTCCCCCTCCAATGAGTATTCTGGGTGGCTACCCTCTTCCTTAAATAAACCTGACCTGATCTTCCCCAAATCCTCATCTCTAGCACTTTCTTCTCTGATTGCCTCCCAGTCAAGCTTCAAAGGAACAGATAGTGCCACTATCTGCAGCTCCCCCATACATCTGGACAAGGCATCTGCCTCCTTGTTCTCCACTCCTGGCCTATACTGAATCTCAAAATCGTACCCCAGCAACTTGAACAACCACCTCTGTGCTCCTCTATCACCATCCACTGTTCCAGCAGGTATTTCAAGCTCCGCTGATCTGTCATGACAATGAAATGCCTCCCAAGTAGGTAGGGCCGCCACTTTTGGATGGCCAAAATGATGGCCATTAATTCTCTCTCATAGATTGACTTCAGTCTGGCTCTAGCAGTCAACACTTGGTTGAAATTGGCAATGGGCCTACGGCTCTGCATAAGCACTACACCCAGCCCGTATCTGGAAGCATATGTCTCCACAATGAAGATATGAATGAAAACTGGCAAAACTAGGACCGGTACTGTAGTCATCGCCTTCTTCAATCTCTCAAATGCTATTATGGCCGCCTCCCCTCATAGGAAATCATCCTTTTTCAACTGCTCAGTGAGTGGCCATGCTATGGTGTTGTATCTCTTTACAAACCTTCTGTAGTAGCCTGTTAGTCCTAAAAATCCCCTTAGCTCCTTCATATTTTTAGGCACTGGCCACTTTAGCATTACCTTAATTTTGGACTGATCTGCTGCCACCCCTTCTTTTGATACAACATGGTCCAAGCACTCTACACTGACTTGTGCGAAGCAGCACTTCTTCAAGTTGGACCTCAGCTGGTGCTCCTACAGCACCTCTAACACCCTTTTCAAATGCTCCCAGTGCTCCTCCTCTGTCTTGCTGTAGACTAGGATATCATCAAAGAATACCAATACAAATCGTCTGAGATAAGGTTTGAAAACCTTATTCATAAGTACCTGGAAAGTAGCTGGAGCATTGGTGAGGCCAAAAGGCATCACCAGGAACTCATAGTGTCCCTTATGAGTTCTAAAGGTCATCTTGGGTACATCCTCCTCCTTCATCCGGATCTGATGGTATCCTGATTTCAAGTTTATCTTGTTGAAAATCACTGTTCCACTCAATTCATCTAACAGCTCGTCAATAACTGGTATAGAAAACTTGTCAAGTACAGTTTCCTTGTTGAGCGTTCTGTAGTCCACACAAGATCGTTAGTTGTCATCCTTCTTCTTCACCAATAGAACTGAACTAGAGAAGGGATTGATGCTGGGTCTGATGATTCCTGCCTCCAGCATCTCTTTAATCAACTTTTCGATTTCATCTTTCCAATTTTATGGGAAATACTTGAGTTCGCAAGTAATCCTATTGGATCTACTTGAGTTCGCAAGCAAACCTAACAATAATCAGTAGAACAATTAGAAAACGTAGAAATTATGGTGAAAGAACAATCAAATGATAACAAATCTTATAGAAAGTCAAGCGAACCAAGAACAAAGCAAAGATACAAGAGATCCTCAATTCTAGAGGAGGATCGTCTCTCCCAAATCTCTAGACAAGATAATCTAGAGCCCAAGTCTCAATTCGAGAGGAGGATCGTCTCTCCCAAATCTCTAGACAAGAGAGTCTAGAGTCCAAGTTGTCAAGAAACCCTAATTCCAATCAATCAAAACCTAATCCTCCCTAATCCTCTCATCCTCTTTAATACAAAAGCTTTCCTAATCTAATTTCCTTCCCAAGCCCTAGCTCCCCCCTCCTTTTCAATTTGAAATCACTTGGTCTAGTGGGGCCCACCCCTTTGGGTGGAACAAAGAAGAGGAGGCGGATGCTTCCGCCTCCTATATAGGGTCGGCTGGGCTGGTTTAGAGTGAACTGGCCTATCAACATCCCATTTTTTTGGCTTCAATCATCATCGACAACACATCTTCTTCGGCAGTCCGTCATTATTCGCAAAGTTCAAGCTCTGATATCAACTGATGTAATAGATCAGCAAAAGAATCGGATCTGCTAGAAGGAATTCTTAATCCATGGAACAAACACAAGTTCTAAGCTTCAAAAGAGTATAATTCATCATCCTCTTTCGTACTACAATAACTATATGTAAAAGCTAGCAAGAACATTCTAAAAGGCATGTAAGAAATATGTAACAAACTTAGATAAGCTATTCCTAAAGGCTTATTTAGCTAATGATGCACCGCATCATCTCGTAGGCTATTGCAGAACCAATCATCGTTGCAACCTGGAATCTCATTGTCATCCACTATTATGGGCTTTAATTCCAAATTGGTATAGAAAATTGGGAGGAATTAGACGAAAAGAAGAAGAAGATGAGGAGATAATAGTCGTAGGAAAATGAACGGAATTATAGCAAATATGATAATTTCATAATCGTCTTTTACAGAGATCATTATAGCATATATTATGTCCCACCACTGACGAATAAAAATTGATTAAGGGAAAGAAATCCAAATTACAAATAGCAATTTCCAGCTAATAATATAGTTTAAGTAGAAATAAAGCCAATTCTAAGGATTAACAATAAAATGAAATTCAAAAGCACAATGATGCTGCATCATCAGCGACCTAGGATGTGAATGTTGATCCAAATGATTATCACGTATTTTAGCTATCCAATGAAGAATTTCAAGCTAGCAATGTGCAGTAATACTCAATTGGAGCAAACAGTCTGAGGTCTCAATATGTTAGACCTCAAGAATTGCTTCTTTCAGTGTACTGGATTGAATTTAGTTAATTAGACTACATCTGACTCTGGATTAGGGGTTTTAGATCTAGGGTTCAAGACCTCCAATCGGCTTAAGTTTTTATTATTAATTTACTATTTAAACTTGAAAAGATTGCTTTATTAATGAGAATTCTTTTTAACTTTTTTTTAAAGAATTATTAGGTATGCATGACATGGGGAGTAGGTTTGTAAGAGGAGTGATTAACCTTGCCAAGGTCCAATCATTCAGGGTTTATCAGGTTATTAGTCTCTGATTATCAAGGAGCCTTGGATGTGATGAGAAGGCATTCTAAATAGTGACCGTCGGTTGTCTCATTCAAAAAATTTTCAATGCTGAAGAGATAATATTTATTTATGAAGTAGGCTGGCTCAAAAGTTTTCTTGATGGCATGAATTCTTATCTCCTGCCTGGTCTGTAATGTATGTGAGGCCTTAACTAGGGAATTTAAGGTTTTCAACAAATAGTGCCAAATCTGTTTGGTACTACTAAAATTAATGTATTTTTAAAGCAAAGTCTTGATTGACTATAAGGTTTTCAGTAGACAATGCCGAAGCTTTTCAGTACTTACTAAAAACCAAGGATTTTTGCTGCAAGGTCTGAATTGGCTATGATTTTCAGCAGGAAGTATAGAAGCTTTGTGATGTTGAAGAAGACACAGAATTTTTAAAGAAATTTTTAGACTGGATTTATGGGATTGGGAAAAACTGCAATTTTTTTATTTGGGATTATAGACTCTTATCTATGGCATGATTTTTTTTTTCAATTGTAGCAACTTGTGATTCTTTTTATCTATAGAAGCTCCTTCTCCACTATTTCTTATTCGTGATTGTTGGAAACTTGTTGTTGGGATATTGTTCCTATTTTATCAGGTATTCTTAGTAGGATTAATGCTTACGGAGTATTTGAGTTGTATGAGGCTAGGACTTGCGTTTAAACTCCTATTTCCCATCTATGTAAACTAATTCAAGTGTTTATAAATAGGTGTGTTCTGAGGCATGTAAAAATATTTTTGACTGCAAAATTTCATTTTAGTTGGATTTGAAGTTTTCCTCATTTTTCTAATATTTCAATCCTTCAAGTGCATGAGTTTAACCATTTTGAGCTAGACAATCTCTTGGTTTATGAGAGGCTCATTGTTGTATTTTTTCTTTAATTTCTCTTCTTTACTTTTATTAGTGATTGATTGAATGTTTGATTAGTATATTTTTAGATTTATTTGATATTTGAATTCATTTATTTACATGAAATTTTACTTATTGTGTTTATTTCTTGAAGTTGCTTTCCTTTGAAGATCAAAGTTTTTCAATGGAAATTAAATTCTACTTTCTTTATATTCCTCATCTTTAGAAATAAATTAATTGTTTGAGTTAACTAGTTTGATTCGATGTGAGATTTGCATGTTTATTTGTTTGTATGTCATCTAAAAATCTATAAAATTGACATTGCATATCTTCTTATTTAGTCAAGAGCTCTTTTGCATCTTAGATTTACTGTTAAATCTCTAGACCTTAGAATAACCTACATCACTTCCCTTTGGATGGGGCTGATGTGTCATAATGGGTTAATATGTCCTTAGTCAACCATGATGTCCAGAGGGACTAGGGGCTTATTTTAAATTCAATAGGTTTTTCACATATATTGCTTGGAAATTTCATATTCTTAAAATTTTTCATCATTCAAATGTTTATGGAAAGGTTTAAAAATGGGATTTTTGCAAAGTGAACCCTTCCTAGAAATATTTTGAATTTTTAAAATATACTAAGGTTAAATTCAAATTATTTGAGGGTTAAAGACCAATTTAGGGTTTTGTATAGGCATTTTAGCTGATATTGTTGAAGGTGATTATGATGCCATCTAGGAGGCCCATAACTTCATTCTAAGTGATGAAGACATTGTAATGAGACCGAATAAGTGGGTGGTTTTCTGGTCTATGGAAATGTTCCTGACTTGTTATGAAAATGGATGCTACCCCATGCTATATGTTCCTCTTTTCTCACTGTGTGGGCAGGCAAAGAAATAATATCATGAATCGAGCATGACCTGCGAAGATCCATCTTTTAAAAAATTAGTAAAAAAGATTTAATTTATAAATATTCATAAAATTCTCAAGATGATCTGATAATTTGATCTTTTTGTTCCGTTAGTCATCCCTCACCAATCAAGGCTATTTTTTGGGTTTGTAATACGTTAAACACCCTGGCACCTTATTTCATTGATGTTGTATTGCGAAAAGTTTTTCTAAGCCATTTTAGCAGGGAGAAATCCAAGCTTTTGTATCTAGGCAATATATGTGAATGTTAACAGTTCTAAATATGTGATATCTTTTTCTGTTACATCTACTTCATTTGGGATGACTTTTTTGCTGCTTCTTAAAGCAATTTTTTAGTATAAAAATTAAAATTTTAATACTAAAAAATTGCTTTAAGAAATAATAAAAAAGTCATCTCAAACGAAGCCTTATATTGAGCCTGTGGACATCCTGTTATTCATTTTTTAATAACTAGTGGCGTTTAATTGGGCAAAAGTGCAATGAGGCAACTTGATTTCTATTAGCTCCATCAACTAAGGTAGCTTAGATGAGACTAATATGGTAGAATATTTTTCCGCTTTGCAATAATGTATTTTTTATGTATGTGAGATGCTTGTTTGAGTTTTTTTTTTTTCATTTGGTCTGTCTAACGCCTGAATTATGCATGCTCGGCAATAATGCATGATTTCTTTTATGACTGGGCCATTTTCCTTTTGTTTACTAGGAATTGCAATCATTGGGTGAAGCCATAGGCACTAAAAGCAGAGGACTTTCAGATAAACTTATATCCTACTTGCCAGTCTCAACATACAAAATTGGGCTATTTCAAAAAAGAGAGAACCATGAAGAGTATGTACATTTCTATTAGATCTTTATTTTGAATTGTAACATTCCTAGTCTTGTAGCCATTGATGAAGTTAAAAGGCTAGTTTATCTAATATTACCTGTCAGAGCACCATTTTGAATACCACTTTGGTTTTCTGCCAGTGACAATCTTTTTATGCCTCTTGCAGATGTGTGATTTGTTATATGACTTACAAGAACCGAGATAAGTTGATCACATTGCCCTGCCAGCATCAATACCATAAAGGTTGCATTACTAAGTGGTTAAAGATCAATAAGGTAATATTATATGATTTTGTCTCCCTTTTTGCATCAAAATGACCGTTACTCTCCAAATGAGCAACGGCTAGTTAGTTAACATCGAGTACACATGATTTTAATGCATTTGCTGATATTTAAAGGAATTTTCAAGTGCTTAGTGGTTTAAGCTTATAATAGAAACAGTTGGTGTCAAAAGTGGTTTGCTTGAAACTATTCTGATTGAAAGCTTATGTAAATATACAATAATTATCTATGCCTGGACGCACACAATACAGTGGAAGAAGCTTTTTTAGTCACTGCATTAGATAAGTTTTATGCTTCGGTTGAGACGGTTTTTTTATTGCTTCTTAAAACAGAGTTTTAGTACAAAAATAACTATATTTTAAGAAGCAATAAAAAAGTTGTCCCAAATAAAACCTTACATTGATAGAAAAATACAATACTTGCATCAAATTTATCTTCTTCAGTTTATATATAGCTGCATCAAAATTTCTATTTATTTTACATCTGCGGTCTATCATTGATTTTTTTTTTTTTTAAATAGTTTATCTACTTAAAATTTAGGTTTTCTTTATATTTTCATCAATAGTTTTGTATAAAATTAAATTTTTAATGAGTTGTCATTCTTCTAATTTTGCAATAGAATATTTATTACTTCTGTACCTAACATAGTTTTAATTTTCTCATTAAGCATCATTTGTGGTAGTTTTCTTATTGCTTTCTAAAGAAATTTTTAAGTACAAAATTGTTTAGTTAAAAAAAAATTATACTAAAAAATTTGCTTCAAGAAGCAATAAGTTGTCCCAAATGAGCGTTTGTGATAGTTTTCTTGCTGCTTTTAAAAGCAAATTTCTAGTACAAAAATATTTAGCTAAAAAAAATTTGTACTAGAAAAATTATTTTTGAAAGCAATAAAAAAACTGTCTCAAACGAAGCCTAAGACTACAACCATGTTGAAGCCTTTTTACCAATCACATATTCTAAATTTTGTATAGTTCCTATAGATTTTCTTTCTCTTCACCCTTCAAAGTTTGAGTTTCAAGTTTCGTTTAGGATAATTTTCTTACTGTTTTTTAAAGCAGCTTTTTAGTATAATTTTTTTTAATTAATAAAAAAATAATGACAAAAAATTATCCAAACAAAGCCTCAGTCATCTAGTTTATTTTGTTTGAGTACTAACGGCTGGGTTTTTCTAATTCAGGCATGCCCAGTGTGCAATGAAGAAGTATTTGGATCTTAAATATGCGATATGATGTTTTGTTCATGCTTCTGCCTGTAGCCCTGAATTGGCTATTCCATGTTGCCATACTCAATAAATATTTGTTATGATGAGGTCTGTGCTTGTTGCCCATACTTGTGGTAACTATTAAAATACAATATTTTATAAATGCTTGTTGTGTTAAGCCAATTTTTGTCATTTAAATCATTAAGAAATGGGTAAAATAATATAATTATTCTATATTTTTTATTATCGCTCATTGCTTTTTGGAAGATTCTAGTGACCTCAGTACCCTAAATGAAAATAAAGATTTCTGTTTTTATCGGAGTATTAGTAAAATCGAAGTTAGAAAGACTTTAAAAAAAATGAATTGTGGAAAAGCTGTTGGACCTGATGATATTTCAATAGAGATGTGAAAATGTTTAGGAGATGAAAGAATTTTTTGACTTACTAAACTTTTTAATATTATTGAAGACTAAAAAGATGCCAGATGAGTGGAGAATGAGTGTGTTAATTTTTATTTTTAAGAATAAAGGTGATGCACAAGATTGTGCGGATTATTGAGGAAATAAGTAAATGTGTCATACTTGAAAACTATGGGAGCGAGTTATGGAGCATAGGTTGTTGCGTGATACTAATGTTTCTCAAAATCAATTTGGATTCCTGGCGAGTAGGTCAACTATGGAAGACATACATTTATTAAGAGGATTGATGGAGAAATATAGATAAAATAAAGAGGATACACATATGATACTTATTGATTTAGAAAAAACATATGATAAAGTTTCAAGAGAAAAAGCTATGGAGTATTCTTGAAAAGAAAGGAATTAATAATGCTTATATTCAAATCATTAAAGATATGTATCATGAGTTATTACTTGTGTTCAAACACAAGGTGGTTTGACTAAGTATTTCCCTATTTCGATTGGGTGACATCAAGGATCAACCTTAAGCCCATATCTCTTTGCTTTAGTCATGGGTGTTCTCACTAGACATTTGCAAGAGGATGTACCTTGGTGTATACTTTTTGTTGATGATATTCTTTTTGTTGATAAGACTAGAGAGAGAGTTGAAGGTAAACTTGAATTATGGAGGTCAATTTTATAGTCTAAAGGTATTCGCTTGAGTAGATCTAAAACGGAATATATAGGGTGTAATTTTAGTGGTAATAGACCTAGTGAGGGGATTCTGACTTTGGGGTGATCAAGTCATTAATACAAGTACATGTTTTAGATATCTTGGATCTATTGTTCAAAGTGATGATGAAATAGATTGGGATATTATCAGCAGAATTCAAGTTGGATGGTTGAAGCGGAGGAATGCATCAGACTTGTTGTGTGATAAAAGAGTACCCCTCAAACTTAAGGGAAAATTCTATAAGATTGTGGTGAGGCCTGCAATGCCTTATGGTGTCGAATGTTGGTCATTAAAAGAGAAGCATAATACTAAGTTAAGTGTGGCAGAGATGAGGATGTTCAGGTGGATGAGTGGCTTTACCCTTAGAGATAGGATACGAAATGAGCATATACATGAAAAGGTTGGAGTAGCTCCAGTAGAAGGTAATATTATAGAGAGTCGCCTTAGATGGTTTGGTCACATAAAACACTAGCCTTTCGATCACCCAGTTAGGAAAGTAGAGGTATTAGATTTGACTTTTATTAAGAAAGGTAGAGGCATACCTAAAAAGACTTGGTTAGAAAATATTAGAAATGATCTTTCTCTATTATATTTAAACGAGAAATTGACTTTTAATAGGACACAATGGAGAATAAGGATTCATGTAGCTGACCCCACGTAATGAGATAAAGGTTTGTTGTTGTTGTTGTTGTTGCTCATTGCTTTTTTATAAATTCCCTTACTATTTTCTTTCCAAATATTATAAGTCTAATATAATGTGTTTTGCTAATTGCAAATGTAGCAATTTTATTATTATTGTTGGGTCCTATAATATTCGCGACGGTAGAGCAATATATAGTTTAATGTCTTAGCATTGTACGAAGATCCAGCACACAATCAGATAAGAGAGAGAGGGTGTTGCGTTCATAAGAGATACCATAGTTTTTTTGAGAAAACCCCTGAAAAGAGGGAAAAACCATAAGGCTTGGCCCAGTTTGAATGAATCCACTAGTATTTACAGTCGATTACAAATGAGGCCCTTCTTTGGGAGAAGGCCTTGGCTTGATGGTACAAATGTACATCATATAGAGCACATTATATGGTGGGATTTACAATATAGACATGTTTGTTTAGTCAGCACGACCATAGTCGATAGGATAGAGGTCGGAAAGACCGTTGTCTGGTGATGGAGGTCGGAAGGACCGTAGTATGCAGGAGATTGATGTCAGAAAGGTTGTTGTCTGACGATGTTGGTTGGAAGGTCTGTAGTATGTGACGGAGGTCTGAAGGACCATAGTCGGCAAGAGACAGGGGTCCGAAAAATTGTAATTGAGTGGAGATCGGGGACAAAAAGACAGTTGTAGTAGAGTGATACTCTGTTAGAACTCTGAGCATCAGGTGGTGGGCCGACAGAGGTCTGGGCCTCAGGTGGTGGTTCGGTAGAAGTCCGGACCTCATGTGGCGGCATGGTGAAGCACAAGGCCTCAAGCGGTGGTCTGGCGGAAGTCCGAGCATCAGGTGGTGGTCCGACAGAAGTCCTGATCTCAAGTGGTGGTACGGTGGATATGAGGGCCTCAAGTGGTGGTCTGGCAGAAGTTCGTGCCTCATGTGGCGGCATGGTGAAGCATAGGGCCTCAAGCGATGGTCCGGTGGAAGTCCGGGCATCAGGTGGTGGTCCAACAGAAGTTCTGATTTCAAATGGTGGTCTGATGGAGGTGAGGGCCTAAAGTGGTGGTCCGGGAGAACAAAGACGTCGGGTAGGGCTACAAACGAACCGGACCGAGCTTCAACCTGTTCGTGTTCAAGCTAGTTTGCCAAAATTGAGCTCAAGCTTCTTAGACTGCTGTTTGAGTTTGAGCAAGTTTAAAACCAACATATTCAAGCTCGGCTTGAGTTCAATTTGAGATCGTTTATTTTCAAGTTAATCGAGCGACTCGTTTAACCGAGTCGAGCCCGATTTAAATTCACAAAAGAATCTTCTTTATTCAAACCGAGCTAAGCCAAATAACAACACCGGGCAAGTCCAATAGAATTTCAGAATCTAGCCGCTGCCTCTAGTTACCACAATGTCAACGCCAGGGCGTTCAAGATTGTTTATTTAGCTATTGAGTATTGTCAAAGTTGTTCAAGCTTGTTCATTTACATTATCAAATGAACATAAACGAGCTCTTATCGAGTCGAGCCACGAATAGTTCGTCGAATGCTCGGTTCATTTGCAGCCCTAACATTAGGCGGTTGTCCGGCGGAAATCCAAGTCTCTGGTGGTGGTCCGACAGAAGTCCAGGCCTCAAGTGGTTGTCCGGTGGAGGTGAGGGCCTCAAGTGGTGGTTCAGCGGAATAACAACGTCAGGCGGTGGTCCGGCGGAAGTCCAAGCCTCAGGTGGTGGTCCGGCAGAAGTTTGGCTCTCAAGTGGTGGTCCGGCGGAGGTGAGGGCCTCAAGTGGTGGTCCGATGGAGGTGAGGGCCTCAAGTGGTGGTCAGGCAGAACAATGACGTCATGTGGTGGTCTGGCGAAAGTCCGGGCCTCATGTGGTGGTCCGGCGAGACTCTGGTGGTGGCCGAGGAGGAGCTTCTTCCGTCTCTTCTCTTCTTGCTTGGGATCCCCTTTCAAGAGAAATGAGGGGTCTATTTATAGATTTCTGGAGTGACATGACCTGTAAATAGGTGAGAGATCAAGGGCAAAGGGGGAGTGGTCAGATGGACGGCCGATGTTAAATCCCTTGATCATGGACCGTTTGATGGACATTTGAATGTCTTAGTGATGTCGGAATTTGGCGATTTTAGGCTCGTTGGATTCGTCTCAACGAGCCGCTCGATTTGACTATAAGCACATAATGTTTGGAAATCGTTTGGTAATCCAAATTGTGGTTCGAACCTTCTAAAAACGCTTTGGGTCCTTGATTTGGGCTCATTTGGGCTCGGATTGAGTCGAATTTGGTGTCAGTGGGTTCATAGTTCCGAGACGTTCAATTTGAGTGTAAGTTTGCTGAAATCGGAGTTAGGATGGTCCCAATTTTAATTTTGGAAGTTTCCAACTTGATAATTTTTCTACGACGTATCAATTATTATTTAAATATGTAAAGATTTTGTTTCACATATAAAATAATTACACTAACTATTTAGCGATTTAAGTTAATAGAATAATGATATTATTTAAAAGATAAATAACATAAAATAATCTCTTGATTATTTGCAAGTTTCTCATTTAGTTTTTGAGTTTAATATTGTCCTAATTTTGTTTGTTGATTATAAAAAAATTGATTCAATTTGATAAAGGGCCAAAATAACATTAAAGTTAAATGTAAGATTATTTTAGATAATATTAGTGTATTTAAGATTATATTATTTGTGTTATTCTATTTTGTTATTTGATAAATTATAATAAATTTAAAATTTAGAATGAAAGGTAACCTATTATTATAATAATATTGTTGACTAATTATTAAATAATATTATATGTTAAGTAAAATTTTAATGAAGTTTAAATGTTTTTATTAAATTGCTCTCTCACATTCTTATAGTGGGGGATCTACAATATTTTTTCATTAAATTTGATGAATTTTCTTATAATTATATCAAAATTGAATCAATTTTTGTTAGTCGAGGAATTTTAAATTAGAGTAATTTTAAATTTTGAGATTAAATTGATCATTTAGTAACTCGTATGATATTATTTTTGGCTTTTTCTTGTATTTAAAATATACCGTTTATTTGAACATATTATTAATATAAATTAGTTAAGAGAATCAAATAAATTCAAATTAAAAATGTTGGCAGGTCATTTTGGGTTGAGATTTTTGGCTTCATGATTTATGTTTCAACATTGAATATTTAAAAATTAAAAGAAATTTTTCTTAATTTTTTAAAAAATTAATCACATTTAGCTAAGGCACGTGTATTTTTTTTTCTAGTAAATTTAAAATAAATAATAATCATAGATAGATTAATTTAAAAGAAATATAATATTAATCATAGATAGTTCATGCATCCTTATGAAGAAGGATTGATTCGATAGGTTTTATTTCTATATTATATAGAATATATTCCCATCATTGAATATGTGATAAATTTGA